GGAGGCACAGAGTGTGTTCTGTAATTATAAAATCATTAGCAGGTGTCCAGAGGAGATATGAATATGACTGTAATCTGTCCCCACCCATGATGGAGCGCTTGTCTCTTGCTCAAATGTCAGTCTGTCTCCGGCAGCCCATAGAGAGAGCTCTCAGATTCAAATTCAAAAGGTTTAGTCCCGGCGACCACACTCCGTCATTACAGGTACCCCGACATGTGACAGCCTTTATGCACCAGCCATTTTTCAATCACCTATTGTTACCCAACGCTTTACCGGGTAAATCACCTGTCAAGGTCCTCTTCACATAGGAGGACATTTTGGGGCTTTAAAGGCTCCGACCTTCACTTGACAGGGTTTTTGAAGTTAAATGTGTTACTACAAGCAATGGGTGACATTAAAATAACAGCATGTAGGGATGACATGGAAACACGCTGGCAGGAGAACAATCACGTATTCTGACAGACTGACAAAAGATAGGCAGGCATCTTCTGGTCAGACATAGCAACGAGCAGACATTGTAGCCCTGGCGAGGAGACAAAGTCACATTGTAATCCAGAGCAGAGGGGCGGTTTCTATAGCAACAGTAGGCATCTAACCTACGCGCCGCTGCTTTTGTTGGAATCTGAAATTGGCGACAGAAGGCTGGTATTGAGGATAGAGAGATTGGGAAAGATGAAGATAAGAAGGGGCAGGTTGGAGGAGGATGAGGAAGAGGAGAGAGGAAGCCGATCGAGATAAGGGTGAGGAGAGGGAAGGAGATGAGCGGAGGAAGATTGATGTAAGGGAGGGGCTGGAGATCATCGCCTGACCTCAGTATTTGTCTCCCGTTTGGAATTTGTTGGTCCACTCAGCATGATAGATTTCATTTACTGATAGCACTTTGTGTCATGGGGAATTTTTCAGACTTTGTTATGGCACATTTCCACTGCAGCGCGGTTTAAGCGTGCCGTGCCCGGCCCGTTTTTGGTTGCGTTTCCACTTGGCGTGGTTCCAACTAGCAGGTACTTTTTCACAGTTTTCTGGCTCTCCAAAATTGAAGTTCTTTCCGGGCCAACAACCGGGCTGAGTATGCTAAACTAGTGAGAGAATCTACTACAACAAAATTAACATATTTTACCGTGATTTTATTGTAATACACGTTTCAAAATGATGCCGAAGTAACAACATACTGATACCGGTTAGTAAAAAAAAAGAATTAATGCTTTGACAAGTCTGCAGACAGACGGCAGGAGAAAAACCTTTTAAAATGCGTGTTTTCTGAATGGAGATCGGCTAAGCTAACGCAGTATATGCTCCGACCATCCACACTCACAAAAACGGCCTACAGACATAAATAAACCAGCGACTGTATTCGCCATGACACAGACAGTCTGTGGTTTGTACTTGTTTAACTTTTGTCTAGTTTCTGAACAGATATGAGGAGCTGTGAGCTCGGCTAACATCTAACGGCTGATGTTGGTTTTGTGTTTAGCATTGAAGATGATGTCACGGCTCCGCCTACACTGCGTTACTATAGTTACTACCCCAGTTCCTAAACTGTAATGGAAACGCAGCATAAAGTGAGCCTGGCCTACCAAGGCCTAACTATGCCATACTAAGCCGTGCGAGGCCCTGCAGTGGAAATACGCCGTTAGTGTCTTTGTGTGACTGCTTTTTGTAACCCGTAAACTGGCCTTCTACACACATGATTATTTTCACTATTGTAAAGATTCTTTATTTATTATCGTTAACTCATTTGGCTAGTTGACGTTTTGTTTTGGGCGGTTTTGAATCCAAATATATTCATACGATATAAAAGAAAAGCAGGAAATCTCTCGAAATTATGATTATCAGAGAATTGAATGCTATGATGTTATATTTAACATAACATAATAATATTCTGTAAGCCTTACATGTCAAGAGACAGTAGATCTCAGTCACAAGGTGCCATGTGACCCCACAGTGGGTGATCAGTGATCTGGTCATGGGGTTATTGTACTCTGATAGGGTCATGGGTCAGTTATCTCATGTATTCATTGTAACTATATAAAAGCTCTCTCTTCAGTCTGAGTATTTGCACTAGGCTGTGGAGACATTGCTCTTCAGGCTGTGTGCCTCTTTTGTAAAAAATAAAAAAGACTCAGAAGGACAACTCTTTGGCTAGTTTATTTCAAGAATTTCCACCACAATGAGAGGCGTTATACAGCCATTTAAAGCCAAGACTTTAACAATTAATCAATGATCACATTAGTTGCTGTCCCTACTTGTGAGTGTCTAAGCATGGGATAATTTATTATTTACAGTACAGTATGTTTACAAGCAGGGTGCCGTTTGGAGAGATGAGGTTAGGATAGCTCCTTGCTCGGTGTGGTATCAGATGTGTGTTTAACCTGGACCCTGGCCCATAGAGAGCCGTGACCAGCTGCAGCAGATGGCCCCGCTCCCCGGGGGCAGCAGGCAGGGTCACAGCGGCTTAGGACTCGTCCACATGCAGCTACTTCTTCAGTGCATGCCTGTATGAAGGCAGCAGTTGTTGTTACGTAGTGGTACTGTAGGTACTGTGATGAATTGCTATTTTTTACCAGTAAATTCAATTTTCTTTCCCATCATATCCTGTCTGCTCTGAATATCAGATGAAATCTTGACTTTACAAAATCCATGAATCCCAACACCTAATTCTTCTTCAGCTTCTTATTCTGCTTACTACTAGGATATGTTATAAACCATTTAATATGTGTTTATATTGTTATTACAAATGTTCAACTTACTTAATGAGAACTTATTATTAAAAGGAGTAATGTAAATAAAGATGTTTGTGATAGCAATGTATTCACTAATGCTTCTGATACTAAGGATTTACTGAATGGTGCATTTTGATTGTACATGGTGCAGGTTTAGCACGAGTGAGGGATGTACAAGCTAACAGTGCAGTAAAGTAAACACAGCTGTGCAAACAGCCATGAAGCAAATGAAAGAAGCGTGTTAAATAAAACCAACATACACTATACTTGAGGGACAACAAGCGTCTGAGTCACATAATCGTCATGCTCAACATCCAGTGCCCCCTTGTGCAATCTGCACTCACTGTGTACATGTCTCTATCGATTGCAACGCAAAGCAGTAATAAGTGATGGATACAAAATAACAAAAACAACGATTAAGTGTTAGCAAGGGAGCTACATTGTTGGTTCTCTCACCAAACTCTTTCTCTTCGGTAATGTGTGTGTTTTTTTTGTGTATTAGTTCTTGTGAGTAAAGCTGCTGGAAGGTGTCCCTCGGGTGCGAGGAACCAAGCTTTTATTTACAGGAAGCAGCCCTGAATAATGAGTTGTAATGCCGCAGTAGTGAGAGTAAACTCTTCAGATGCGAGGGACCAGTCTGAGCAGGACTGGGCTCCAGATCAATCCTGCTGGCAGACACAACAACACTGTTGCTCTGCCACCGTCTCGCTCGCTCTCCCTCTTCCCTCTCTGCAGAGGCACAGGCTATTTTTAGCCTTGGCATCTCTTTCCCACTGCACCCACCACCACCCATTTCTCTCCACTGAATTCCTCCCTCCATATCCCCCCCGACTTCAGCCTCCATGCTCCCCCTCCACCTTAATCCAATGTAGATCCCTCCGCTCAGCTCCTCTGCTTACATCCTCACTCCAGATCTGTGACGGAGCTGGGGAGTGCTGGTAAGTAGAGGAGATGTGTCAGGGGACAGATTCAGCTCCTCCTCTATCTTGTCCACGCTCATTACCCAAAGACATAAGCTGCGTCCAGGCTGGTCTGCCCCCATGTTTGGTGTCAGTGAGAGTTTTTATCATACTGTTTCTTTGGTGAGTTGTCAGGGACTGAGCTGAGCTGAGTGGCTGACTGTGATTAGCACTGGAGGCCGGCCAAGGCCCCGCTCGTTGTGTGTAGAGAGGCTCTCACTGCAGGGAGGCAGCTGGGAGAAAGATGGAGGCTGCCTGACTGTGAAAGAAAAGTCCTTGTGTGCTTATGTATGTCCCTTTGTCTAATACCAGTAGGTGAGTAAGTTGTGTTTAAGACTCTCTCTACCTGTACTGTAGATCCCTCTTTCTCTGTGAGCCATCCTCCCTCACCAGACCCTGACCACAGCTCCTCCACTGTTCTGCCCTTGAGAGCGCGTCCTCAGCCAGCCTCTTCGTGATAATGAGGCCGGCCCCACGGATGCTGCTCGTGCCAAACAACCCCTGCCCTCCCAACACTCCTGTGTTGGGGGTCTTTGCTGGGGGTAAAGGCCGGGAGCTTGGTGGTTAGAGGCTGAATCTGGGGCTTAAGCCTGTGACTGGTTATATTCAGTTGGTAATTAAAACAGAGGAAAATTGCATACATTTACATTACTTTCCTTTTGTGAGAGCTGTATTCCTGGAGGGAAAACACAGCCCGCTGAGCTGGATAAGACTCCCAGAGAGGGCAACGTTTTGAGTTTATTCTTCTCTCACTGCAAACTGAGCTCATACCACAGCTTAAGTTTTCCACAACACATGAAAATGTTCCTACAGTGATTTTCACTAAGTTTGAACATGTGCCACATACATTGCATCTAATAGATCCTTTTGATAGTGTACATTTTGTATTGTAAAAGCCAGAAAAGCACAGGTAAACATTAACGATGGCCCCAATTCATTAAGTGATCAGCAGGCAAGGTCTTTGAACGAGCAGCACAATACCTCAGCCCTGAAACTGGCTCACTTAAATGGAACGCAGCCGTCATCAACAAAGGTACCTCCACCTGTGCTTTCCCTGCTTTGGCAAGCCAAAATGTTTGCTGGTCCATTAACAAAAGCATTGCCCAGATACATACAGCTATCTGCTCACCTTCTCATGACTCTCATTCCACATCACACTACTCTTCCTGTGTTCTGTGATGCTGATTATATTCTCATGCTGAACAGTGTGATTGAATATAAACATGACTCTCTAGCTTACCACCGCGATGAGTCGGGGTTGATATACACACTGCTATATCTTCTCTCATCACCTGTCTTTTCACTTTTCTTTTCTGCACAGGAGAGTGCCATTTCATACTACGATTCCAAAGCGGGTTCAGACTATGTGAGTACAGTACGGATTGCTCCCCCATCCCTCGTCCTCCTGCCTAAACCCAAAATACTACCCACTTCCCGCTAGGAATGTCACGAGAACCGATACTTTGTTTCCAAGTCGATGCCAAAGTTTTAAAAACACAAGGGTATTGTTTTTCTACAATACCATAAGTACTGTAAGGGCTCAAGCGTAATGGCATCCTGATGTCCAAGAAACATTAGAAACAGTGTTTGTGACACAGTAAATTACTAAAGATACCTCCAGGGGACATACCCTACTTTTCATAATTCTACTTTGTGAATAACAAACCATGTTGAAATTTGCAAGAACAAAGCTAGTTAATATTAACTGTTAGCAGTCAGTGAACCAAGGATTTTGTTGCAATAGAGTGCACAGAAGTTATACTCAGTAAAATGCTATTGGGCAAAGGTAAATTAGGTTATCATGATGTGTTCAAATGTAGTCTTGTACATGTAATTTTTTGTAGTGAGAAACTTGAATCCATCCAGTTGGTTGACGGATATGTTTTCACAGTAAATTAATATAGACATCATAGACTAGGGAATTATGAACTTTCTATCAAAAAGCTGTAAGAAGGCGGTAATACAAAAGTGTATGATAAAGTACATGAAATATACTGTTTTGATTTGCACTGTGCTATTGAGAATAGTGGAATTTCACTGGCATTTGTATCAACTATTACATTTCTGGTATTGTGACATCCCTACTCCCCACCCCTGCCACCCTGTCCTGCAACCCCAACCCACTCCTGCCCCGGCCTCCTCGGTGTTGATGCCCCCTCCGGTCACAGGCCCCTGGGATGTCTGTGTGTGTTAGTGAGGTGACACTGCTTTATGGTGAGTTGGTGTGACAGAGCAGGGGCAGGCCGACGTGCATGTGACAGTGACTTCAGCTGTCCTCCCCCAGTCCTCCTTCCAGAGTGTTCTCCCTCTCCACGGACCCTCACTGTGTCGACTCTCTGCTAAGCTCAACTGGAGGGGTTGTTGGAACTCAGCACATCAAAACATGAGTCATATCGCACTTCCACACAAGAGGACACCATTTCTACCACGTGTGCCATTCATACTGAAGAATATAAATGATATTGGAGGAACTTCCTGCCAGCCAGGTAACGTAGTTTCCTCCAGAAAAGATCTGCAAGTGCTGTTTGGTCTCCCCATGCCACCAGTTCCTCCCCAGGATAGGTCACACCCGGAGCCCGTGGTCGCTGATTGATTGAGTTTGAAAGAGTGCTAGAATGCCCCCCCCCCCCCAAAGCACACAAAGATGTGAAGAGAGTGAGATAGAGAGGGGAAGAGAATGAGGCGGAGGAGCAATAAATCATGGTGTGATTTTCTCTTTGTGCACGCCACTCCTGTGATTAATGACACAGCGCTTTAGGGCCTGTCAGCACATCTAATTGGAGAACATCCGTCATCATTAACATGGCACGCTGAGGTCCTAGCCAGTGACACACCCCTGACCCCCACTTCACCAACCTCACAACCACCAAAAGACGGTGGCAGAGGTCAGTTAGAGGTCAGTCCTCATCCCTGCAACACCAACAGTCACCCACCAGTTATTCTATCTATATTCTTCCCACGATGACCCCTCTCAATGAAGGCTTTAATACCGGAGTGAAAATGTACTATATGTAATAATGTAGTGCTGTACTATCAGGGAGATATGATCAGAATTCAGTTTTAAAAAGGTAAGTGATTGGCGGGCTCTCTTATTCCAGCCTTATCTCCTCTGTTCCCTATCCTGTACTCTATACCCTCATCTCTCCTCTTGTCACTGTAACCTTGATATTAAAATGCAATGTGATGATTTGTTTTTAAGACTGCTCTTGTGCCAAAGCTTGACTGAGAAGCCTTCTAATTTTGTTCTCTTTTTCCACTACCTGAATGCCTCCTCTGGGTTTCTCTGTGTTCATGGACTGTCCTGTTGTCTGCAAGCTGAACAATATTATGACTTTCAAGTCTTATTGGCCATCACTTAAAACACAGACAAAAGATCAGAACGAAAGATTCAGATTGAAAATGCAAACATTCTTAGGTCTGCATGATACAATTTTCACTGCAATACATTTATCCAAACATTAGAAACATATCCTAAATCATTTCCTATAGCAGTAATTCACTTTGAAAACAGCATCACATTTATAAGGAGTCAGATTATTCTTCTTTAAATATGTTTCTGTTTTTCAGTTATGGCGTGCTACATGTTCAACATGTTAAAGCAGCTATTTAACAACTGAAATGTTATTTTTCTGAAGGATTCCTTGTTTATTTTAAGGGCTGTTTTCCCTTTATCACACTGGCTCTTGCAGTCAGATAAACACACACCCACACTCGCACACATAAGGCGCTTTCACACCAAGTACTTTTGCCGTACTTAGTTCCCAGTACTTAGTTCATCAGAACTCTTTAGTTCTGATGAACTAAAGAGCAGATCGTGTTCACACCAGAATAAGTCCCTGAGGGAGGATTAGGCAAACTAAGCCACTGACGTCACTTCTTCTTCTTCTGCTTTGGGTTTACTGGCAGGCCGCAAACAACTTCACTGCGTATACTGCCACCCGAAGTCCCCGGCCGGAAGTCCCCGGACTTGGGGACTGGCTTCAGTAGAAGCTGCTGGGACTCCCAGCAGCTTCTACTGAAGCCTTCCGAGTAAATCGCCAGAATGCCGACACCTCCTCATCTCCACCGCTCCCATGTTTTCTTTTGCGTTGCTATGAGTTAGTCTCTCTGCGTTTCTGTGCTGGGCTAATGCTAATAATGCTAATGCCAGCAAATACGATGGCGGCTTCACAAAACTTTACGGAGTTTTACGGGGGGTGGTTTGCAATTCGCCCAGCCAATCAGAAATGGGAACCTTTTTCTCCCAGGAAAGTACCTGCTCTCTAGCAGGGACTACAAAGGGGGTGAAAAGGTTATCATGAAGTAAGTTCTAGTTCCTGATTTCTTTTGGTGTGAAGTGAACTAGGGGTGCAACAACTAATCGACTTAATCGATTAAAATCGATTACCAAATTAGTTGGCAACTAATTCAGTCGTCGATTCGTTGGTGACGTCATCACATGTGTTCTACACCCTGTTAAACTCCAAAGTTATCGCTCTTTTTTATGGGTACAGGAGACATTTAAAACATATGTCATATGTATTATTGCTACATAAACATTATATCGCAGTCTTAGTGTCGCCAACTCCGTTTCTAATATGCAATATGACTACAAAATGCGTCTATAATGTATTTTCGATCTTCCCAATTCAGACGAGAGATCTCTCCCCCGCCTGCTTGCGNATTAACTTCGTATAGCTATACTATTATAACGTAAGTTATACGACTCTAGCAGGGACTAAAAAGGGGGTGAAAAGGTTCTCATGAACTAAGTTCTATTTCCGGATTTTTTGGTGTGAATGCAAAATTTAGCATGTAAAATTTCAGAACTATATTGGGAGAAGTACTCCGGTATGAAAGCGCCTATTGAGGGTCTTACGTGACGTTTGAGGTTAGCCCTGTTTGGCTGAATGAAAGGATCTTCAAAATGTCATCTCTGGCCTCTTCTGCCTTTAATTAAACCTTTAGAAGGGGGGGATACAATTAACAAATTGGGTAATGAATCGAGCAAAACAGGTGGTGGATGGTTGAAGAAAATGAACCAATCAGTCTTTCCTGCGTGGATTTATTCAGCTCCTAATTAGACGCTGCCTTGGTTAATTATGATTGGGCTCTTTTGAAGAAAGAAAAAAACCTCTCCCTGCCTGACATTGACAGAATTAGTGTCAGACTGAATTATAAACAAACACCTCAACCCCACAGTCATTGCTGTTTAAAAGCCAACATGTTATATCATTACAATTATTCTTAGAGTTGTCTGATTGCTATCATAGAGCTAAAAGTAGATTTAACCTGGTGACAGTTATCATTTTTTCTCTTTTCTCTTGCTTAGAAAGCCAGTTTAGTTCTGCCTCGGGTCTTCCCTCTTTTTTCAAACGTGTACAAAACATCTGTATTGGATGGGAACAGGATAAAATAAAATTACCTCTTATTTAGGACAATAAAGGACATTAAAGGGACATATTGAAGCCATATGACAGGTCCCAAATGTTTGGACTTAAAACCACATGCAAACAGTCTCTTCTCCACAGGGCATTAGAGTAATACTAACTTAATAAATCATGTCTAACCTGCATTATAAACATCAAAGACCGTTTCCAAAAGCTATATCAGCTAATTCTTTCCTCACAACCTCTCACTCATCCAGATGAGCAGTCTGGTGATAAACAGGAATTATGTGGGACAATATAACAAATACAACTACATAGAACATTTAGAAAAGGGCTACAGCTGTTGTAATTTTCGAAACTGCTTTTACTAAAAATGTAACTTTGACGAAACCAAACCATGTGTAATGTTCAATCAACTGATTATTGGTATTTAAGTATTTAATTATCTGGTGTGTTCACAATTATCTGTCCGAACTTATTTCCATGTATTCATATCTCTCATGAGCTGTTCTGTCAAAACACTGTATTGTTCCTTATGTTGACTTTCAATGGGACTTCAGCACAACTATCCCCCTGCTCGTCCCAACAACAGCTTGTAATTACATTTTAATAGTCAATTAAAGTTGGCCCATCAATCAATTCTCCCCTCGACATGGTGTTTTGATTTCATATCTCCAAAAAACAAACAGTTTTTATCATGTCAGATCTAATTAACCCAGGCTGCTTTATTAAAATGAAAGGTGCATATTGCAGTTGCACATTTATAATAATAACATTTATTGCACTGATTTGAATACATAAAGATGTCGGTATGTATGTCTAAGGCTGCATCTGACTTTTATATAGTGTTATAAGTATGCACACTTAAATGTATACAAAGAATAATCAAATAAACTGAGTCAGAAAGTGGGGTTATTTCTTAATGCCTTTTATTTTGTGTCACATCCCACAATTGCTACATCCTGTGGGAACAGACACAGACTTGACTCCATTGATAACTTATCAAGATAAAAAGCTTAAATGTCTGTTTTTGCTGGATTCCTTTGCTATCTGACTGTTTCCGTTTGTGATATGTGTGTCAGGCTTTCTGATCATGAGCTACACACAGAAGCTGTAAAAGTGCTAAAATATTGAAATATGCAGCATTAGCACTGTTGTTGTTCAAACCATCACAGAGAAGAGAGTCTGTTTTTAATATATGCTATGATTCAAATGGGTGGGAGACTAAACCGTCAGTAAGTGGTGTTGGCTGCGAGTTATTGTTGGGGTTAATTTGTATGGCACCTCATGTGTCTGAGATAGAAATCTGGGTTACTAATGAGTCTCTCTGTTTGGTGACTGCTCTGATACCTGCTGCTGTTCTCTGATGAGAGGCAGAGTATAGACCCACATAAATCTGCAAGCAGACAAAAGGCAGTATAATTGCTATTTGTATTCTTAACGTTATCCAAGGAATGTTTGACTCTGTGTGAGTCAGAAAGAGAGACAATATCCTCTATGTACCAAAGCCACAGATGGGTGCTGTTAAGCCCCGATATGGGAGGTGACAGAATGGGTTACTATATTTGTATGTATACCCTCGTTTATATTTGTATGCTCACTTAGATTTGTATGTGTGTGTGTGAATGTGTGTGTGTGTTTCAGCAGACGGAGGACGGGGAAGAGGAGAACCCCCTGGAGACCTCGACGTCCATGGAGCTGGAGTTTGTGGATGATCCCAATTTCAAATACCAGGTCAACTACTCTTCAAGTGCGGTCCAGATTCCTACAGACATATACAAAGGCTGTGAGTAAACAACAATACTTTTTGTGTTAAAGTTCTGGTGGAAAGGTGATTGTGGCACTGAATTGTAACACATTGATTGCATGAACTACTACAGTTACATACATAGCTGTAGTTGAAGTGTGTAAACCTTCAACTCCACCTCTCCTTCTCCTGTGTTGGTAAGGTTGATTCATTGAGAGATATATTAAATTAGATATAAATGATAATAATAAATCAAGACAGGGACTTGGAGATGATTTACTTTATTTCATTATATATAAAAAAAATTCGAATGAGATATTTTTTTCTTATTTCACGCTTTACTGTATGTATAGATATTTTTTCCATTTATCAGACAATAAATTGCCTATATTGCCACATTTCGTGACATGGTACTAAAACGTACAGAGGGATGGGGGCAAAGTCTATAGGGACTTGGCTTGGGAACCGGAAGGTCACCAGTTCAAGTCCCCGAAAGACCAAGTGCTACCGAGGTGTCCCTGAGCAAGGCACCGTTCCCTACACTGCTCCCTGTGCGCCGTACATAATGGCAGCCCACTGCTCCTAACACTAGGATGGGTCAAATGGGACTATTAAGGATATTTCAAATAAAAAAAGACGAGGTATAGATAATGTTTATATCTGTATGAGACATGTCTCTGCCTGGTTCATACACAAACTGGGCTGTGGATGGATGACAGTTTTGACTTGAACTTTCCTCTCTCTCTGTATTTTAGTTCAACCTCACCCTCCCTTTATATCAGCCAGCACTTAAGCACAATACCATGATTTCAGATGACAGTCCCTCACACCAGATCTGTACTGTATTTTTTTCCTGCGTGGGCAGGGTCCACGAGCAGGGCACCGCGCTGCCCTGCGGACATAACACACTCCTTAGTCTGCAGCCGCAAAGTGGACAAAAGAGAACAAATGTACCTTTGGGGACTCTGATTTGGCTTGGCATGTTCCCTCTGTTATCAACCTCTAACCCTTTGGACAGTGGCTGCCTGTCTCTTTAAAGACTCAAAAAGCAGAGCATGTGTGGAAAGACAGCCATTTTCACAGAGGCATTTTTTCTTTCTGTTATTATCTAGCTCTTCACCCTCTTTGTTGAACAGGCAGTGTATGGCACCTGTCTGTGACAATGCCCTCCAGCTGTGTCTCCAGACAAATCTTGTCAGAATTAGACACTCTTGGTTCAGGAGAAGATGTCAGAGGCCACTGGTAACTCACAATAGAGCAATCAGGCCTGCACATTGTTCCCGGAGCCATTTTGTGCCAGCCCTGGTTCCCCTGTCTGAAGATATGAGTCAGAGAATAAAGGCCTGTTGATTGAGCCCAGTGGAGACTCGAAGAGTAGAGTGGTACAGTGCATGAAATTAGCTTTTGCACTTCTCTTCTGTGGACAATGTTTACTATTGATGTTGTTTAGTTAGCTCCCATTGCGCGCGGTCTGCTTTGCTGAGATTGCCAACTGCAGATTTTGTGCCAACTCCATTATGTACATGTGTGTGCCGTTTTAGTCGTTGCCGATAAATAAACAAAAAACATGTTGCTGTTCAATTGGACAGTAACTAGTAAAGACTCTTAGCGACCAAATCACAATATCTCTTTGCTACAGGACAAAGAAAGGTCATTCAATAAAAGCTCCATATACTGTGAATAAAGTTGTTTGTGGCTCCAGAGGGAGCTGTGCAAAGTCTGGTAAATACATCATACTTTGGTTAAGAACTACAAGTTTGAAAATGTAAATAATATAGTCAACTCACCAGACCCTTAGCTTCTCATCTCAGCTTGAAACTAGCAGGTTGAGCCTAAATCATCCCCTCTAGCATAACCCACGTGAATCTCGGAAAAAATATCTCTGGTTCTTCTACATATACTTCTATCCTTGTTATGGATAGAATTTTTAACCATCCCATCATTACTTTGCCTACCTTATAGAAGGGCAAACCTGTTGGTGGAGTCCTCTTTTATCCAATTTAGCTTATAGACACATACATCACGTTGTTCATGTCACAGTGATTATTATCTGTATGATGTTTTATCCCTCTGGTGTCAGCCTGGAGGGGGCCTTGGAGAGGATGTCTGAGGAAACTAATGTTAGCGGATGGTTTTCCTCTGGGTGTGGAGAGGTCTGGATCTCCAGTATATCTGTGGGTTTGGGATTAGCAGGAGAGAAGCATTGTGAGTGGGAAGCTTCAGCACTCAATCCTCAGGGGGAGGCCAGAGGAAAGGCAGAGAAAAGGAAAGTGTGGGAACAATGGAGCACAGTTCAAAGTACAGCATAATGTTCAACAGTTGTTATGAAATTCTCAAGTGTGGTTTATTAGCACTGACTTGTTGTTCTTGTTAGCTGACTTTGATTCGTACACATGTTTGATGCACTGAATAAATTAAATGTTTTCCAGAAAATGGCAACGCGAATCGTCACAGAAAGATGGGTGTCCTTGGGGATGGACTAAGAGGGAATACAGATAGAAAAAGGGCTATGAGGACAGACACTTTAATAATAGAAACCATTTAGATTCAAAAAAAAAAAGAAAATGCTTTTTTTGTGGCTAAAAAAAAAGCATTTTCCTTCTTTTTTTTTTATTGTGATCCTTTCTGCAGCTAAATGAGGCGGTGGATGCGTCCTGGTTTGATTTGTCTGCTAGGCCCCATGTCCGTTTATTGAGATTGAGAGTGTTCCCTGAGCGCAGTAATGAACCATTTTATGATTCATTATCCCACCGCTGATTCCTGCTGCCAAGTCTGCAAACTTTCTAATTAGCTTAGGTCAAACATTCATACAGTTTTCCTCTAATTATCATTGCTTATTACAGGATGGACATTGCAACATAGCCACAGAGGAATAAATGGATGTGGTTTTATTTTCCCATCAGATTTTGCAGAAATGGTGAGGAAGACTCAGGGATTTGCTGAATAATTGCCAAGGACTGGCTCTGGGAATATAGTGTTTGTAATAATCAGCATTGAGGGAATATACAAGATACTCTTGGCGACTATTTTGTAGTTTCAGTCGAATCTCGCTGGTAATTGGACCTCGTTCATGTGGCAGATAGAGGATACTAATCCAGATTGAGTCATTCCACAGTTGCATGTCCATTATAACTTGTTGAAAATATGGAAGTAAACCAGCATTAATTTAAAAGGTAGCAATTATGTGTGTACTGTACACTCGGTGTGTGAATACGCTACTTTTTCTGTGAGAATAAGCGGCCACTGTTCCCAGCAGGGAAGAAAGAAAAGCACCAGTGAATGTGGGAAGCCCTTTCATTGAATTTGAAGTTTAAATCCGCTGCATGCACCGCCTTTTCTGACGGCCTAACGTCATGTTGTCAGTTTGCTATTGTAGCCATGCACAGTGAGGAACTTGCTTATCAGAAATGAATGGCGAGGCCTGGCTAACTGTGCGTGCAGATGAAAGAGCAGAGCTTAAATGTTTTTCATGGAGCGATTACACACACACACACACACACACACACACACACACACACACTAACCATGATTACCACCATTCCCTGTGCCTGACTGTTTGATTGCTCTTTTCTTACATTTCAGACCATATCCATGGTATATGTTGTAAGCTATGTACGACCAAACTTTACATATTGACAACATGTTTTAAAGTATACCTTAATTATTGGAATTGATTTGCTACCATGAATGTAGTTATTGTTTTCCTTCACTTTTTCTTGTTTGTCAATTCATTGATTCTCCAAGACTTCCCATACTTTTAACCTCCTTTATAAATAAATCAGTAGCTGCTATACTGTAGCAGCTACAGAAAAAAACTGTTAGCAGAATACTGACATATTATAAGCTTTCAAATTGATAAAGCATTTTTAGCAAGTACTTACTTATCCATCCAACAGATACTCAAAACATTAGCAGTAGTTGGGAGTTGTGTTTTGTTGTTTTAATAGACGTTAGTTCAATATGCAGTCAGTATTCAGTAGTGTTTGCTCTCAATTCACTTCTAAGGAAAATATCTTTCTTCATATCTTGCTTAACGCTGCACTGTGCATTTCAGTTAAAAGCTTAGTTTGTCTTTCTTCCATTCACAGACTAAAATCACAGAAAAAAGTCAGCAGTAATAATTGAGCGATAATCTTAAACCTTCAATTATTTATGAGACTTTAATTCAGAATCACAGCCTAGACCAGCAGCGCGCTTCTTCACCCTGGCCCTTTGTATGTTAGCCTCCTTTCTGATTCTGCACTCTCTGGCCTGTGGTTGGATCCCCTGCGAGAAGCTCCTAGCAAAAAGTCATCCAATGTACCTTTGTATAGAGCAGATTGCATGGGGCGTATGTAATGTGCAGTGGAAAATTGAGTGCAAGAGATACAGCAGTGTCAACGCAGTGTCTTTTGGAGATTTGAAAAGAAGAGAAAGATTTGCATCTAGAGGGACTCATGGGAGTGAAACTATATCTGATGTCTCTCATCTTGTTTAACATGGATCTGGAGAGAAGGCAGCTCACCTGGTTCTGCAGGGACAAAGGAGACTTTTGGTAGAAAGCCCAAGGTCTGTTCACAAAAGGAAGGGAGAATGCAAACAATCCTTTACTCCTCAGTAAAATGCTATGCTATGGTTCCAACTAACGTATGTTTGCATTTTATTTTGTGCTGTTGGCAAAGATTTTTAAATAAGATGCTACATATGTCATCTTTAAGTCATAAGCAGCAAATCTTGAGATTTGCCTAAGCTAAATGTAAAATGTCATCTCTGTGAGTGTGTGTGTGTTTGTGCATGCACAGTACACCCAGCCCGTATTCTTTGCACACGCCCCAGGTTCCTTCCAGTGGAGGGAGCTTCCCTGTCAACCAACTCACGCCATGCTGGAGATCAACTCAGCCCGTCTCAACATCAAACCAGATTTAAATGTGTGGAAAAAAAGCAAAAGTGATTTGTAGGGGGTGGGGGGGAAGAGTGCAAAAGAAAAAGGAAATGATAAAGAGAGAGAGGGGATAAGGGAAATGGGATTTAAAGTTAAACCAAAAGAGAAGAAAGACAGC